GTGGTGACCCGCAACCATGGAGATATAAACAGCTTTTTATAAGGTAAAAATAATAAAACAAGGTCTTTGTCTGCAATGATTAGACATGTTTTTTATTATTGTCGTTAATGATTATCTCAATTTCGGCTAAAAAAAATTGACAAAATCGTACACAGTGTGCCTTTAAACAGGTTTGTAACGTTTCAAAGATATTGTTTAATTTTGTTTTACTAAAATAGGATTAGAACATTGAAGGAAGGTGTATTGTGACCTTACATCTGATAGTGTAAAAAACTGATATCAGCCRAAATTGTAATCGGCTGGTCAGACTTGATCGGTGATCAKCCAGAAAACTGCAATCARTGCACCCCTAATTGCATGAGATTGTGCATAACATTATTCTTGAAGTTACACCAAAATGGCTACAACTTTGATATTTCTCAACATAAAATGACTTTGAGCATGATGGAGTCCTCAAAAGAACACTAGGGCTTTCATTTTTTATGTAAATACAAACAACATTTTGTCTGTTTGAAGCTGCAACCCCTAAAATGTGTTGCGCTGCTGCTTCCTGTGAAAGCGGCACAAATATCAACTCATGAAATTCAGATTCACTGAGTTCAGGTGAGCCAAGCGCAGCACAGATGGCGTGAGCGCACGCGCGTGGCAGAAGTGTGAGATGTGAGGAAATCGTGCACSTTTGCAAACCTGCCACCCTGTCAATCATCAGAGAACACGAGTGATCCTTTAACTCGTTATTACCGAGYGCGCTTTCCTTCAGAACTGTCTTTGTGAGAAGGGTCTGTTTCCCTCTAGAACAGCAGTCCACCTATCTCCAGAACTAAATCACCGCCAGGCCTTTCCTGTGCAAYACAGACGTGCTCACCGATACTTTCTCTGTCATTTCCTTCCTTTTTCCTTTCTGTATCATTTCATGGAAAGAATCACAGAGTCAGACTGAGAGAATGGGGGCTCTGATGAATTGTCGGTAGGAGAGGATTACATTAAATCATTTCCTTTTTATCTCGGCTTTGGTTRTTAGGCTCCTCTCCAACCTCAGTGCTGATACACATGTGCCTCTTTTCATTTATGACTTTCTCCTGATGTTTTTTATTTTATTTTTTTTTGCTACCTGTTACAAGTCTGTGGTCACAAAAACGCAGTAAAGTTTTGTTCACTGTGCAGAAAACGCATATTGTATAATGATACCTGAACAGCAACCATAATTTCTGGAAAAGCATACACTAAGGAAGGAAAACTGCACATTCCAGCACATTAAGAGTGTAGAATAATAGAAGAGCAATCACTGCTTTTTGTAATATGTACCCAAGGCCCAACTTAGACACAGAAACACGTACAGCACATTGTGTTTTTGCCAGTTGAGGACAAAAAGCCTCCTCGGCAGTTCATGAAACTCCAGGTTACATTCAAAATATTCCCCCATACTGTGTCAGTCACTTTAAACTGTATGTCTTTCACCAATAACTGCTTCCTCACGAGAAAATGGAGGTTAAGCAGAAATTAAATCCTCTCTGTGAGAGACCCTTTGTCACAAGAATAGCAGAATATAAAATTGTTTGTGTAAACAGAGTTTTTTATAAGCTTAAGCTTGTATTACGCCTCTTTGGTCCAGTGCACACTGAGTAAGATATTATCAGGCTCCACATGGGAGCTTAAAACAAATATATCATTAGTATACAGAACAGAAATGTGCTGAGCTCAAATCTCATAACTAACGTTCCCCCTTAGGTGATGGCTAATGGTGCAGATGCTTCACTAAAAATAATGGCACTCCCATTTTGCTTGGGTTTTGTTCCCTCAGGGTGTTTGTACTTCTACAAGTAAGTCACTAATCTCATCTTCACGCCGCCAAAAAGCAGGCCACTGTTTTCTAATGTTGTCCCATTAAAAGAAAATCAGTTTGAAAATCAAATGACAATAAAAAAACACAACCAGCTGGATACAGTAGGACCTGATGGTTGGTTTAGGATGGGAGAATGTTGTAAAAACACACCCACATACACGTTCAGTAATCCAGCTATTTCCTTACAGTGTTAATCTGGAATGTTATTACTGATAAGTGCTCAAGTTTATTATTATTATTATTATCTTTTTTCAAATGTTCAGACCCCGTGAAAAAAACCTGCTGAAAGTCCATTACGACTTAATGTGTTTGTTGCAGTGGCTGTGGAGAGTTAAGACATTAAGAAAGAAGCTGGTGAAAATGACTGCTTTCACACTATTAGGCAGATTCCCGGAGCTCACAAGTCCATCTTTTTTTTTTCTCCAACTGGCATCACAGAGAATCCATCAAATACCACATAATTACTGTCTTAATGCTTGATTTAGCTTAATGGAAATAAGAAGCAGCTTCTCTTAATGAGAAGTTGTTGGTCCATCGCCTTATTTTTATTATTTTATGTTCTAAAATAAGTGAAGTGTTTTACAGAGTAAATAAAAGTTACATTCATCTGCAAAAAACTAAATTGGAAAACTTTGACAGCAGACTGAGTATGTGAGATATGATACGCATTGAAATGACTATTTGAGAACTTTTATATGGCTTTTTTATTATCCACTGCTGGAAGGTGAAGGCATGATAACRTTAAATGACTGGCAGAGGAGTTTGCCTGCCTACACAGTTATAGGTGGCTGCCACAAATAGCTAACCTTCATAAACCACAAAGATGGCTATGACTCAGTCAAATTTACAGATATTGACCTAATATTTGGTGTGGTACTAGCTGAGACTGATCCCCAGCACGTATATCCAAATATCTCATAAATCATCTGATGATTTTTAATGAAACAGACACCCCCTAAAGGTTCACCGGCC